TTTTTTTTTTTTTTTTTTTTTTTTTTAAAGAGGTATAATTGGAAAGGTGGGAAAATTATTATTTACAGATGGTATGACTGTCTTCCTGAAAAAGCAAAGTAAAACAACTGAACACATAAAAAGTAAAAAAGTTCAGTAAATAGGCCGGTCACAAATAAAGGTATAAAAATCAACAATCTTTTATCAAAAGATGCAATACAGAAAAAGATCACTTTCATAATAATAATAACAAAGTCTAGCATAAACTTAAGCTATTTAAAGAGCTAAATAAAAATAATAGGAATGTAAGACACGAAATGTCTTATTTCCCTAAACAGCATTACCTATTATAAGGTAACATGGTTCCTTTGAGAAAATGGTAATTCTGGTTCTGGGACAGGATGAGCCTGGCTATTTTGTCACAGCAGAAATCAAAGAAACTATCAAAGACTAGAAGGGTCAGGTCAAAAGGACTTTCAAGAAAGTGCCAACTTAAAAGGAGGCTCTTGGGCAGTGCTGCCAACACCCTGGTGGAGAAGCTGAGGTCATCATTAGATTCAAAATATTTAAAATGGATAGAAAACTGTTTCAGCAATGCAGACCATTAAGTGCATTGTTGTGAGGGATGGTGCCATTGGTAAAACATGTCTCCTGATATCCTATACAACAAATTTCTATCTGAGTATGTACCAACTGTTTTTGACAACTACGCAGCCAGTTAAAATTGGTGGAAAGTCATATACTCTTGGACCTTTTGATACTGCAGGGCAAGAGGATTATGAAAGATTACAACTGCTGAGTTATCCACAAGTAGATGTATTTTCTAGCCTTTCAATGGTCTCTCCATCCTCATTTGAAAATGTTGATGTGGGTACCTGAGATAACTCACCACTGTCCAGACTCCTTTCTTGCTTGTTGGGAACCAAACTGATCTGAGAGATGACCCCTCTACTATTGAGAAACTTGCCAAGAACAAGCAGAAGCCTATCATTCCAGAGACTGCTGAAAAGCTGGCCTGTTCACAAAACATCGCTCCAGAGCCCTTTCTGCACAGCTGGTGTTGGTGTCATACTAAAAGCAATGTTTAAATCAAACTCAAGATTAAAAATTGAAAACTAGTTTTTGCAATTTAAAAAAAAAAAAAGGGTCACCCTAGCTGGTTTAACTCGGTGGTTAGAGCATTGGCCTGCAGACTGAAGGGTCCCGGGTTCTATGCTGGCCAAGGGCATGTATCTCGGTTGCAGGCTCCACCCCAGGCACTGATTGGGGTACATACGGGGGAGGCAACCAATTGATGTGTCTCTCACATCGATGTCTCTCTCCCTCCCCCCCCTCCCACTCTCTGAAAAGCAATGGGAAAAAATATCCTTGGTTGAGGATTAAAAACAAACAAAAAACCCACAGTATTTCAAATTCAGTGAGAAAAAGATATTCAATAAATGATATGGAATTGCTAGTCACTTGGCAGAGAGGGAAGAATACAGCTAGATCCCTACTTGTTTCTTACACTAAATCCAGATTAATTAAAGATTGAAATATAATCAAGAGTTCTCTAGAAAGAAAATGAGTGAAATTTTTATAACCTTGGAGGAGGGAAATACTTTTCTAAGCATAAGACAGCCAGAAATTATATAAGACTAATAGTTATGCCTGGCCAGCATGGCTCAGCGGTTGGGCATCGACCTAGGATCCAGATCTCAGTTTGATTCCCCGTCAGAGCACATGCCCGGGTTGTGGGCTCGATCCCCAGTGGGGGGCGTGCAGGAGGCAGCTGATCAATGACTCTCTCATCATTGATGTTTCTATCTCTCTCCTTTCCTCTCTCTGAAATCAATAAAGACATAGCTTTTTAAAAAAGATTGTTTGACTGCATAAAAACTAAAGCTTTCTATGTCAAAACATCCATACAGCTAAAAGACAAAAAAATATTCAAAAATGTATTTGCTATGATACATTCACTACTAATAAACAAAGAACTTATCAACAAGAGGCAGACCCCAGTAGAAAAAAGATAAATATATAGGGTAATTTTTTTAATGCAAATGGTAAATAAATGGGATATTATCCTTCACTCGATTAAAAGATACAAATAAAAACGATACAATATCATTTTGTACCTACCAAACTGTCAAAAGCCAAAATCCAGGGTCCCTTTGCTGTAGGGAAACAGGTTCTTTCATTTGTTGTAGGTTGGGACTGTGAACTGGTACTGCTTTGATGAGCAACTTGCACCAAAATTTGATATATATTTACTCCAACCCCTGACCATCTTTTAGGATATTTATCCTAAATTGACAATCAGACAAGTAGGCAAAGATTTATACAAGGACATTGATTGTAGGGTTGTTTATAATAGTGAAAACTTACAAATAACCAACATGGCCATCTAGAGAAACCTGGTTAAATATACAATGAGATACCGTGTAGTCATCAAAATATTGTAGATCTATAGTTTCAGAAAAATGTGCACATGTTGAGGGGAGAAAGAGCAATTCACAAAACTGAATGATTCCTATTTTGTAAATAAATTCCTGGAAGAGACGCTTACAAAAATGTTAGGTATGGGGTGACTCTTAGCTGTTTTTTTCCCTATGTTTGAACTTTTACACCCATCAGTTATTTTTAAAATAAAAATTTCAAGCTATTTTCAATTTTAGGAAAAAAGTCACCAGAAACATAAACAGTATTAACATCTTTATTATGGCATAAAGCAGTATTTTATACATTAACTCAATTTTATAGTAAAAACATTTTATGTACAATTGTAAAGAAACCACTGCACAGATGCCAATGTAAAAATGAGCTGTACTTTAGAAGTTCATTGAATTCGTAATTAGAAAATATTTTCTCCGTAGAAAATAGTAAAAATGACATTCCCCAGGCTAGCCTAACAAGCCCATTTCAACCAAGCAGTAGCTAAATTATACATTTATAAATATGGTTTGAATTCTAGGATCCGGAATAAACTTTAGCTTCATTTACTGGAACAGCCATAGCCATGCTTCCCTAAAATTAAGTTGCATAAAGCAAAATATCCAATAATCTTCCTTCTTACTCTTAACTTAGGCCTGATTATTTTTCTAGGCTAATCCATATGAAGATTTTAATAAAGGACATGTATACTGTGTCTTTTTAATCTGCTTAATAAGATTACCCATTTCTCCCCAAACTGTGAAATGTTTCACTTATTAAAGTATGCTCAGCATCTGAGCAAAACCAGCATCTAATAAATTGTAATCCACAAGGCACGTGAGTTCTGTCACCTAACACCTTCCCCTAAATCCCTGTGGCTTGACAGGAAGCCACGAGGAACAGGAGGAAAAGTGGTAACACTAGCAAATGGACCAAGGAATAAAAGCCAAGAGAATGTCTGAGAACTGAGAACTATCCAGTCAGGATTCAAAGATGGCACTGAAGTCCAAATACAGAAAGAACACTGCCTCAAGAATCAGAGCTGAGTGAGCTATCTGAGCCCCTTATTGTAAGGTGATCAAGTAAAAGGCAGTTAGATATAGACTCGACTAAGTGTGAGAAACCAGGTCCTGGAAAGATTTCAGTTACTCAAAATAATTAGGAATTAAGGCAAGAAGACAATGCTCCTCTTAAGCTCCAGGATTATGCAGGTTTCTCAGAGAAGTAACATTTGCAAACTCAGACAGACTTATCTGGCCAGCGACTGTATCAAGTTCTCCAGTTTCCTCAAAGGAACAACTTAAAATAACCACAGTTTGCCTTTTACAAGTTTCCTAAGCAGCTAAAACCTCCCAATGGAGTAACAGTCTAATAGAAAGATTCCTACACTGTGGCTAAAGGGACTAGGCCTTTGAGAAATTAAACCCAGTCATTCTACCTAAAAATTAGAAAAATTAATGACCCACAAAGTTTTCACCATTAAAAGGACGCTTTATCATGCATCTTCACTTGCTCTTCTCTTCGCTTTCAACAGATGTCTCCTCACATATGAAAAATGTTGTTAGTGGTTTTTATTTTTCAGCAGTGCAAATCTCTGCCCCCTACTCCCTTAACTCCCCCTTGGTAAATAATGTTATCTTCCAATAGGAAGTAGAATACATTATCATCAAGCCCCATTTATTCAGCCTCCTTACTTATGAAGAGAGTTATGGGGCCATCTTATACATTTGGAATTCCTTAAAGACACTTGCTTTCTATTAAAACATCTATTAAAATCTGTGAAGAACTCACTGAAGCACATATCACCTTACACTGAGAAGCTAAAAATGCATCAAAATACACATAACGATAGTTAATCTACATACTGTCTCCTATCAAATGTATTACCATCCCCCGAATCTAGAGCACAGGCTGTCGTGAACTTTATTACATCCAAGCTAAGTTTGAAACCTTGCTTCAAATCATCACTCAGTACTAATTCTCAGAAGACATGTTACAGGACCACATGAGGCCAATCATCAGGCAGGTGGCTAAGAAATGCCAATTACAGAACAAGGTACTTCTCCATAGACTGTAGCATTCCGCATAGGTATTCAGAGAAGAACACTATTAAGAGATAATTTCAAGTACAAAGACAGGTCAACTTAAAAGTATAGGCAGATACATGCTTGACTTTATCTTATAATCTATAAAAATGCATTAGAATAAAAATGCAATGAATTCATAGACCTTTTCAAAAGGAAAACCTGATACAAAAATAGCAATAAAGTTATAAATGACCATCATCAGATGAAGTAATTTAGATGAAGCTTGTCTCTGGAAGAGATGGGCAGGGGCAAGTGGTCAGGAAGGAAACACATGTGCTTTTAACTTTGTATGAAAAAAAATGTTCAGTTCCATGTTGCCAAACATAGTTCTGTTTTGCCATATAAATCTTCCACTTCAATTACTAATCGAACGCTTTACTAAAGCTCCGTTTCTGGCCTTTGTTTTGGAATCTGTTATTTCTGTTACCACCTCCTGATCGCCGTCCTCTGAAGTTTCTATTTCCTTCCCGCTGCCCCCTGAAGTTTCTGCTTCCTTCCCGCTGTCCCCTAAAACCTCGATTGCCTTCCCGCTGTCCTCTGAAGCTTCCGTATCCTTCCCGTGGTCCTTCCAGCTCCGGCTGCTCCGTGGCCACAGAGAGTTGCCAGCGCCGGGAATCATGCCACTTTTCCTGTTGAGAGATGCTTTTGTTTTTACCTCTTTGAATTTTATTGAATTTGGTTTAAAAGGGCATGAGAAAGACAACATTTCTGCCTTCTCTCAAAAAGAAAAATCAGACTAATAACCTAAGTGCTTAAAAGGTCACTGGTCAAAACTACTAACCTCCATAGGCCAAAGGCCAGAGTCACTGAAGTGTGGAAAAAGAAGCTATACTATAAGAAGCACCCTCATAGTGTACTGTCAACACAGTATCATTTATTCTGTTCAATTACTATAGCACATCCAAAGCTGTCAGGTAGTGAAACATAAATATACTGTGTACAAACACATTTCTCACAGCAGTACTGAATAGAGATATAGCAATTAAAAATGTTCATATTAACCCCACATAACATGTAGGGGGGGGGGAGCTGGACGTGGTTCACAGTTCTACAGAAAGGAAAACAGGCAGGCTGACCAAGAAAAAGTACCAGAAAATGTTAGGAGAAAAAAATACTAAAATTCTTAATGGTCTTTTAGTAAAGGGAATAGAGCTGTTGTTTTCCTTTCTATTATTCTGTACTTTCAATAATGAACATTCTACAATTTAGATATGTTAACTTCAAAATCCAAGAGAAAGAATACCTGTATTTCTGTCACTGCTGCAGTACGGACATCAAAGCAAACACCCTAGAAACCAAAACAAATGCAAATTAATCCAGCCTTTTGACCTGAATTATAAAATGCACATTAAGTGATACTCCAAATGACCAGATACTATTTTTTTGGTTTTGTTTTGTAATCCTCACCGAGGATATTTTTTTCCATTGCTTTCCAGAGAGTGGAAATAGAATAGGTAAATAGAGTTAGGTCTGAAAATTCTGGTCAGTATGGCTCCAAAATCTATGGTCTGAAACCACTGAAATACACTGCCTTTCATCAGAAAGAGTGTCAATTATTCAGGATGGCCTAACTAAAAGCAGAAAAATAAATGACTTTCTATGTTAATTTTCTAGTTTTTCATAATTCAACTTCCTATGAAGAAGTTTCCTAAAAATTAAATACAGGACACTATCTTTGATAATAACCAGAGGCATCATCTCCAATTAAGGAAGTCCTGTTTTTATATTCAAATGACGCCTGCAACAGACACAGGCAATATTTTATGAGAAACACCCCCTTCTACCCAACAATTTACCCAGTTATAATCATCAGGTACTGATGGATTTTGTCATTTGTGGGAATCTTCATTTACATGTTTACTGAGTACTCAATGCCAGGCGCTCATGGGGTATAGAGATAACTAGAAAACAGTCCTTGCCCTTAAGTAGGTTATTGTGTTCTTGAGGCTCTCAGCCAGCAAGCACAGCAAGTAAAATTTACCTGAATAAAGGTATGCCCTAAGAACTCTGCAGTATAGATAAATATGCCCCCAACTCTGCTGTATGGCCAGGGAAAGCTTCACAGGGACTTAGGGCTAAGCAAAGTCATAAAGGATACTACGAAGGAGGAAATATTGTAAACAGTGGGTTCAGCATGCACTAAGGATGAGAGAAAGCAAAGTGTACTGGAGTAGAGGAGGGTGTTGGTGGTGAGGAGGCAGAGATGAAGTTGGTAAGGGGGACAGGAGCCAGCTCATGAAGGATTTTCTCCTCCATGTGAAAGTTGGGACTTTATCCCACACACTATGTGGAGTTAAAGAGGTCACCAACATGGTCAGACATGCAATGAGCTGAAAGTAAACCTGATTTGGTTCACCAAGCCAGTGGGTCTTCAAGTATAGTCCACATACCCCTGGGACCCTGAGATCTTTTTGGGGGTTCCACAAAGTCAAAACTATTTTCATAAATACTGAAATGTTATCTGTCCTTTTCACTCTCATTCTTTCATAAGGGTACAGTGGAGTTTCCCAGACACTACATTGGATGTGATGAGGTTGCTCTGATGGCTAACTGAGCATGATATTCTTGTTTTAGAGTTCCAGTTTTAATTTCTAATATGGAAAACAGCAATAGATATAACCCACATGAACAACACGAACAAAAGCTTTTTGGTGTCCCCAACATTTGTTAAGAATGTAAAGAGGTCATGAGACCAAAATGTTTGAGAATTGCTGTGCTGGTCTGTGCCATTAATAGAGAGCAGGACTCAGAAGAAAGAACACCAGCTTTGGAAGGCAAGATTTTAAACTTTGAACTTGAATTAAAGATTATTAATTCAATTTTGAATGCTCGTTTTAAGTTGCTTAATAAACCCCATCTTAGTGGAAGTGTCAGGGAAGTAGCTGGATTAAGTCCAGCACCGGATGCAAATGGTTCAGGCTAGAGATAGATACAGATGGGGTGGCTGTCAGGGACGAAGTGGAACTGAGGGTCATGGATGACACTGCCCAGAGAAAACTATATAGACAGTGCAAAGATGCAGCAGCCCTGTAGAACACGGAGAACCACCATACAGGGTTACTTGCCCACATAAAGCCACTGAACCAAAGTGAGGTCCCAACACAGGTCCCAGCCTTCCTTACCTGCTTTCCTTTGAGAAAGACCATTCCCTTCACTTTGGAATCGATATCCTCACCCAGTTGCTCTTTAAGTTCTTTCCAAGCATAACTAATGTTTGGCATTTCAATTGAGCACTTCAAGACCATGGTCACAAAGCCCTTTGGAAAAAAAGAAGGGGGAAATTAAAGTCTCAGAAACAAACCTAACTGATAAACACCTGCCCTCATGTTTCTAAAGTATTTCTGGAAAAGTTCTCCCTAAAAGTATATACCGCCGCCCCAACCCAACCAACCACACAAATAAGTACAAGTCGAAGTAAGGAACTCTGAATAAGACTGGTGGATTGTGCCAATGTCAGTAACCCCGTTGTTCTAACATACTTTTGCAAACTGTTTCTACTGGGAAACTGGGCAAAGTGTACAGGTAATCTCACATTATCTCTTACAACAACATGGGAAACGATCTCAAAAATTTCAAAAGAGAAACCGAAAACCATACACTTTTTAAAGTTTCTAGGTATACTGGACAAATGTATGTATTTGTATGTGTACATATATTTTAGGATTTTAAAATTTTGAGGTGTAATTCACATAACCACAAACCTTACCATTTTAAAGTGTACCATTTGAGGGATTTTTAATATGTTCACAAAGTTTGCAACCATCCACACTATCCAAAATTCCAGAACATTTCATCACTCTAATAAGGATCCTCATGCCCATTAGCAGTCTCTGCCATTTCCACCTTTTTCAGGAAGACTGGCAACCATTAATCTACCTATATCTGTAGGAATTTGTTCATATACATCTACCTTCATGCAAAAGTGAAAACAACTGGGGTAGTCAACAACGGTGTAATAATTGTGTATGGTGCCAGGTAGGTACTTGAATTATTGGGGGGAGCACTCTGTAAAATATGTGATTGTCTAACTACTATGCTGTAGACCTGAAACAAATACAAAATAATGTGGAATACTAACTATAATTGAGAAATAAATTTTAAAAAGTTGAAACAATTGGGAATGTTACACTTGATCTTAACCAAAAGGCAGAGAAGTGATGAAACAATTAGGGAATTTAAATGGAACACTTTCAAATCCTGCTCAAACTCCAAATTATAAAGCATCAGCTATTTGACAGGGACCTTACCGCCTCTGAGTTGATCAAGGAGCGCTGGTCTACAGATGTGGCACCTGAAATATGGGCCAGTGCTGCCGCCAGGGCTTCAACGGCTCCCTTCTCCTCTATCAATTTCTCAGCTGACTGCTTAAAGTGACTAATAGCAGTGGGAGGAACAGAATCCAAAAACCTATGGTTTAATTGAGAATATATTTGTTAGGAGAAGGACAGTAGAAGTGGACAGATTTCATTTTCAAGACAATATCTCAAGATAAATCAGTAACTTTCAAACAAAATATTTCATATGTCTAACACATCATTTTGATGCAGTGTATATAATTATCACATTTCTATCACAATAAATCTATTCCTTTGATTGTATCTAATTCTAACTTACCACCAAACCAGGAAAAAGAAAAAGCTTTATCCTAAGGAAATAAGATATTAAAATGTTCATCAGTGTTTTAGAAAAAAAGTGCACACAATTTTAAGACGTGTATCAATATGGACTGGTTAAATAAACCATAAAACAGATGCTATGAAATGCCAAACTGCCATTAAACCTTGAACATTTTTTATAATAAGCATGTGTTACTTTTAGAATCAGAAAATACTATAGCTACTTCCATTCTGAAATAAAATAATAAAAGACTCCCAAATCAGGTTTAAAATGATACAGGCTTTAAAGGACTATACATTTATTAGGGTGTCGCTATTATCTTGGTGTTGATAAATGTCACATCTCAAATTTGAAAGAAATCATCCAGGAGAAGGATGAACAGGCTACGTGACAGATGACACAGCCTCGTCTGGCAGGCCTGCCCCTCTCAAGGCCATCTCTCATACACCACCACCAGCATCTTTGTTTCTTTCCTCCTTCCTGGCCATCTCACCCCAAATTTCCTTAACTGGTGTCATAGGAAACCCTGTTAAAGAAAAGTATGCTAGCCCAGACAGGAGTGGCTCAGCCCTTGAGCATCAACCTAGGATCCAGGAGATCGCAGTTTGATTCCCGGTCAGGGCACATGCCTGGGTTGTAGGCTCAGACCCCAGTCGGGGGCATGCAGGAGGCAGCCAATCAATGACTCTCTCTTAATTGATTTTTCTCTCTCTCTCCCCCCCCTCCCTTCCTCTCTGAACTCAATAAAGATCTATTTAAAATAAAATAAAAAGAAAAGCATGTTAAAAATGCTGAGTTAAAGTCTTTTCATTTGCAGAATTCTCCCAAGCTATTAATATACTATAATCTGGCATTTCTTATTATCATGAACTCCCCCTATTTTTTTTAAACTTGATTTCAGAGAAAGGAAGGGAGAAACATCGATAGGCTGCCTTCTGCATGTACCCCAACCATGGATGGAACCCACAACCTGGGTATGTACCCTGACTGGGAATCAAACCCACCACCTCTTGGTATACACAACGATGCTCCAACCAACTGAGCCACACCAGCCAGGGCTTATGTTTTTTTTTCATTGATTTTAGAGAGAGAGGAAGGGAGAGGGAGAAAGAAACATTGATGTGAGAAAGAAATATGGATCAGTTGCCTCCCGTATGCACCCTAACTGGGGATGGAACCCACACCCTTTCAGTGTATGGGAGACACTCCAACTGAGTCACATGGGCCAGAGCCCCCTATTTTTTAAATAAGCATGTCACGCCCGCCCGGGCGTGGCTCAGTGGTTGAGCGGCGACCTGGGATCCAGGTGATCGGGGTTCGATTCCCAGTCAGGGCACATGCCCGGGTTGTGGGCTCTATCAATGACTCTCTCATCATTGATGCTTCTATCTCTCTCTCTCCCTCTCCTTTCCTTTCTCTGAAATCAATAAAGATATATTTTAAAAATAAATAAATAAGCTTGTCACATATTTATAACTGTGGAAAGCACTCTAAAAATGATGCTCAGACTAGGGCCCTAAGCAAAGTACATCTGGAAAACAAGACCTTTTTGGTTTTCATGCTAACTCTACTCACCCCCAGGAATACAATGAACAGCTAGGATGCTAAGCAGCCTAATATCCTTCTATTTGTAGGACAATCCCACACAATAAAAGAATTTTCTTGTCCCCCAATGCCAGTAGCCCCTCCAATGACAACTGTGTTAATCTAATCTAATCCAATTAGATTAACTGTGTTAATCTAACCCTATCTAGATATTTACTAAAATTTAAGTAATCAACTCTCATTCCTACCACGTGGGGAACTGGATTAATGAAGACTTGGAATACTATCTGTGATCCAGCCTGATCAGTCTTCCAGATGGGAAGCACCTACACCATATATAAGATACAATTCCTTAAACTGCTAAGACAAACCAAACAGTGGTTTCCAATAGTGAACAGGATTAGGAAGGGATGAGTACAAATGAGGATTTCTACTTTGCATAATTTTATTTCAGTACTGTCTGAGTGTTTTTATAACAAGAGGATTATAAATTGTTAAAAATAATGAATAAAGAAAATACATTTTAAAAGGTCAAATCTCATTATTGCACAGACATGCAGTAAATAGAGCAAGTGCTGAAACAGACTACAGCAGTGGTAGGGAGCATACCTGATGGCATCTTTGCTGGAAGCTTTTATTATCTCTGTTGCAGATGGAACACCTATCCGTTTAAACTTAATTCCCTACAAGAAAATGAACCATAGTTTAATGCACAACATGGTTATTAACTGTTTCCATTGAGATTAATAGTCCTCTAATCTTTTATATTTACCATAGTATTACATATTTATAAGATGAACTTTTTGAGAATGGTTTAAGATTTACAAAGAGTTCCTATATACCATGCACCAAGTTTCTTATTGTTAATTACTAGAAGAAACCCAACTGCTACTTCACTATTAACTCCAGAGTTCATTCAAATTTCACTCGTTTTTCTACTAATATCCTTTCTCTGTTCCAATGTCCTATCCAGGATACTATACTACATCAAATCATCAGGTCTTCTTAGTCTCCTCTAATCTGTGGCCCTTTGTCTTTCCCGTTTTTCATGACCTGGACAATTTTAAGGAGTACCAGTCAGGTATTCTGTAGACTGTCTCTCAGTGTGGCTGTCTGGTATTTCTCGCATGCTTAGACTGGAGTCATGGCTTTTGGGAAAAAGGCCAGAGTTGAATGCCGCCTTATCACATCGTTATCAGGGGTATATGTCTATAACTGGTGTCACCCACAATCACCCGGCCAGACGGTGCTTGCCTGCTTTCTGCACTGCAAAGTCTCCCCTGCCCTACCACTCCTACTCTACTCCTTGTAAGCAAGTCACTAAGTGCAGTCTACTCAAGAAGAAAGAGGGAGATGAAGCTCCACCTCCTGGAGGAGGAAGGACATACATATGAATTCCCTTACAGAAGAATTCCTATAACCTCCTAATCTATTGTTTAAATATTTCTGATGTGCTCATGTTATCATTGTCTGAAAACATCCTTTCTAAGAGAAAACACCTCTTATCGTTGTAAATATGAAAACAAAACCACTGCTTTCAAATGCAAAGCTATTTCAAAATGGGCTTTATATCTAGGACAACATATAGAACATTTTTCTAATGTCATGGTCACATGCTGGAAATAAAACGAATTTCAAATTAATAAAAATGGAGTAAAGAAACCAAATACTGAATTCAGAACTCAACATTTGAATGAGGCTAAGAAAATAGTTTTACCGCTTTCTGCTCCACTTGGGCTAACTGATATTCTTCCTTGTGCTGATAAAAGCAGATGCAAATCCCAGTCCTTCCAGCTCTACCCGTTCGCCCAGAACGATGAATGTAGGACTCCACATCCTATTGAAGTAAAATGCATGAGTGAAAAGAACAAAAAGAGACAAAGACCTGAGCTTATCCATCCTACCCCCAACCCATCTTAGTCCTACATGTTCAAAGTCCAGTTCAAAACTGCACTACCTCCATGAAGCCTTCCAGGAGTCACCCTCTAACCAGAAATTATCTTTCCAACCTCTGGCCAGCGATCACACTTGCACTCAGCTGTCAGTTCTGAGGGGAGGGCCTCACAATAAATTTTTAAATCACCCCTAGCACTCAAGAAACAGCTATTATTAACCACATGAAAGTAAATGATACAACTTCCATTTTGCTTTAGTACCCAAAAGAATCAACAAAATAAAATCAAACTATAAAACACTTACCTTTGGTGGAGAACTCTGTATAACCAGATCCACCTCAGGGATATCTAACCCACGGGCAGCAACGTTGGTTGCAACCAAAACTCCAAAGTCACCATTTCGAAAACCTTTCAGGGTGATTTCCCTTTGCTTCTGCGGAATGTCTCCGTGTAATGACTGGGCATCCTGCCAAAGAAATAAACTAGGTTAAGAAAACCAGCTCCAGCAATACGAGCACTTTTCAAATCACCAGCGAGGCCTGTGGAAAAGATTCCTATTTCACTGATAATTCTGCTGAAAATAATATAAAGGGGAAAGAAAACATCTGCTTACATGGACAAGCCTCAAAACTATTTCCAAACGTTGGTCATTAAGTCAACTGCAGCCTACTATGCTTACAAGGTACAGAACACCGGGTAAGAGCGACCAAATCTCTTCACTGGTGTGACCTTGGCTTTGAGCCACCTTTTCCTCCTCTCTGAGATGGGGCCAACGGATTAGGTGATTCTAACATGTACACTCTGACCAGTAATTAAAAGATGCTTCCTCCCTAAAGGAAAGGGAGAGGAAGGACCAACCTGCTTTATGGACACATTCTGAGACAACTCCTGGGCTTCTTTCTTGGTTTCACAGAAGATGATAGTGCGCCCATGAAAACCACTGTACACTCGGATCACATCCCCAATAACTGCTGCTCTTTGAGTCCAGTGGCACTTGATAGCCAGATGCTTAAAAGGAGAAAAAAGATCAATTTCATAAAGCCTAGCTGCAACCTGAAATCACCTGCTCACCACTAAAGGTACTAGAAGCAGTGGTGTGTAAGCCCACCTAGAGCAGACTATACCAATACTGGTTAGAGGAAAAAACCAAACCATGAAAGCAGAGAGCCCTTTCCCTTTTTTCAAAGAGCATCTCATTTCTTTATCTATTTTCTGATGTAACCATGAAAATGTAGGAAAAGAAATACCATTTAGATTCCTATAGTAAACCAAGTAACTAACAAGAGAAACGTTTCTGTATGTTTTGTCCTTTCATCCACTTAAAAATGTAATCAGTGGCCCGGCTGGGTGTAGCTCAGCAGTTGAGCATCGACCTAGGATCCAGGAGATCGAGGCTTGATTCTCAGTCAGGGCACATGCCCGGGTTGCGGGTTCTATCCCCAGTCCGGGGTGTGCAGGAGGCAGCCAATCAGTGACTCTCTCATCATTGATGTTTCTCTCTCTCTCCCCCTCTTTCTTCCTCTCTCTGAAATCAATAAATTTTTATTATTTTTTTTTCAATGCAATCAGTGGTCAGTTACCATATACATCTACTCCTTGGGTGAAATGAGTTCAGGTGGGTACCTGACCCTAAGATGAAAACAGCCTCAGCCCTAGCTGGTTCAGCTCAGTGGTTAGAGCATCGGCTGGAGAACTGAAGGGTCCCAGGTTCAATTCCAGGCATGGGCACCAGTTGCAGGCTCAATCCCTGGCCCTGGCCAAGGCTGGTGCAAGAGGCAGCCGATCAGTGACTCTCTCATCATTGATGTTTCTCTCTCTCTCTTCCCCCCCCCTTCCACTCTCTCTAAAAATACAAAGCACTGCTCTCTAGTGTTTAAAGTCTAGGGATACCGGCTGGGCGTGGCTCAGTGGTTGAGCATCTACCTAGGATCCAGGCGATCAGGGTTCGATTCCAGGTCAGGGCACGTGCCTGGGTTGCGGGCTAGGCAGCCAATCAATGACTCTCTATCATTGATGTTTCTCTCTCTCTCTCCGAAATCAATAAAGATATGTTTTAAAAATAAATAAATAAAGTCTAGGGATAATTTCTGTTTAGAATATTCAGACAGATTTAGGTTCCAAAATATTCTGAAATCAGGCTACCAGATGATGAAATTTGGAGAACATAGATACTATGTACAACTCAAACAGAAATATGTCTTTACTTGGTTTTTCACATGGATTTGTACTTATCTAGAAAAAGTGTTTGTATTTGCAAGTCTTAAAACTATCAGACAGGGGGGAAAAATGATATACAATTTATTATTAATTCCAGCAACTAAATGAATCATTTACCTCCACAGTTATTGCGGTTTTCTGAGTCTTTTTACCAATCAGGTCCACCTGTTCATATGTAGATTTCATGTATTTCTTAGCAACATTATATACCCAATGAGGGCAAGTTGCAGAAAAAAGCAGTGTTTGGGGATTGTCTTCTGAATCTTTGGGGGGAAAAAAAGTTAGTATGAATAACCCCAACAAGCCTACACAGTATCCCACCTCACCCAGTTCTTCCAGGGTCCATTAGTGCTCTGCAGCAACCACTGGGCCACCCAAGCATTGAGACACAAAAATGAAAGACAGGTTACCAACAGGCAAAGAAATGCTGCCTAAATAATTTATGTAAAGAATCCTTGAAACAGCAAAAGCACTTTAAACTTATTTTGCTTTCTAACCATTGGCCTTCATGAACCACAAGGGAAATCTGTCCATTATAACAAAACCTACAAGTGAAAACACCAATTTATTGCACTTTCGTGTATCTCAAACGGCAATATAAGCTGGTAGAACCCTTTTATAAAGCAACTTGACAATGTATATTGAGGAGCATGAACTACTCAGAACTTTCAACTCAGTAATTTCACTTCTGGAAATCTATCCTAAAAAACAAATTCCAGGCCAGCCGACATAGCTCAGCATCGACCTATAATCCAGGAGATCTTGGTTTGATTCCTGGTCAGGGCACAGGCCAGGGTTGCGGGCTCAATCCCCAGTCGGGGGCATGCAGGAGGCAGCTGATCAATGACTACTCTCTCATCATTGGTGCTTCTCTCTCTCCCTCTCCCTTCCTCTCTCTGATATCAATAAAGATATATTAAAAAAAAAAAAAAAAAAGCCCGGCTGGGCATGGCTCAGTGGTTGAACATCGACCTGGGATCCAGGTGATTGGGGTTCGGTTCGCAGTCAGGGCACATGCCCAGGTTGCAGGCTCGGTCCCCAGTCAGGGGTGTGCAGGAGGCAGCCAATCAATGACTCTCTCATCACTGATGTTTCTATCTCTCTCCCTTCCTCTCCTTTCCTCTCTCTGAAATCAATAAAGACATTAAAAAAAAAAAGAACTGACTGAAAAGTGTAAACACTATACCTTAGATTGAAGCAAAGGTAATCAATCCCTTAAAAAAAAAAAAAAACAAACTAATTCCAAACACTGTGGTGTGAAAGGAAGCTATCTGCACAAAAATGTTTGTAAGCAGAATGATTTATATTATTTAAAATTAAAACACATAAGATGAAATTAAATCATGGCACAACCACCTCATGCACTATTATGCCAAATTTTTATATGTATAGTGAGGTTATATTAATGCACACACACATACTTACATAAAATAGCACAAAGTTAGGAAGAAATATACCAAAAGTACACCAAACAGGTAGACATGAAATTTACCTCTTTACTTTTTCACATTTCCCCCATTTATGATAAAACAAATTATTTTTAATTCACGTTTTCCTGAATAATATACACCACCTCCCAATTTCCTAAAGCTTCATTTAACTCTCAGAAAACTACTTAATCCCACCTTCTCCCTTTTATCGATTCCTTGAACTTGGAGTTTACCTTTCTTGTACGCCACACATAAAATCTCTTCCACTTGATCAGCAAACCCCATATCCAACATCTGGTCGACTTCATCCAGGACAACATGCTTAAGCTGGGTGAGATCTAGCTTGCCGTTCTGCAGGTGGTCTTTGATTCGACCTGGTGTCCCAACCAGGATGTCAATCCCATTCCGCATACGTTCAACTATAAAGAACATAATAAGAAGATTCACTGGGTTTTGAAGTCCTTTTATTAGGCCAGGGTACCAAGTACAAATATTTTTACTCTACAATATTTACTAACTACAAATACAAAGTAATATGCTAATTATTGAAGATCAAGATACCAAGACACTCCTTAATCTAGTGGGAAAAATATGTAAAAATTGACAGTCCAGTGTATTACACAATATAACAGAAAAATGCACCAGTGGAGGTGGTAGCACCTGGAAAGAAATGACTTCCTTAGCCGGTGGAAAGTGTCAGGTTTCACAAAGTGAGAGTAAGAATCTTAAAGAAACAGGAACTTTCTATAAGTTTAGAAAGGATGAGACAAGCTAGAGGGGCAAGTATTCCAAGGATATAGAGACACTCGGGAAAACAGAGTTCAGTATAATTGGGATGAAATGATACTAATGCAGCTTTTTACTGAGTTGCTACTGCAGCCTAGTGATACTAAGCACTCTACATCATCACCCAATTCAATCCTCACAATACCACTACAGAGTGAGTTTAGCAATGCTATTTTATACACAAGCAAACTGAAGTACAGAAAAATCAAGCAACCTGAACTTAAAATCACACGGCTACTCTGTGAGCAGCCTAGATTCAAACCCAGGCCTTTCTAACGCCAAAGCCTCCATTCATTCCATCAAAGCTGGAAAGAACTAAGCCTTGTGTGCCAATGCTAAGACTTTTTCTTAATGCCTAAATCCTTTCCTGAATTATATATCTGCTCTGCATAATAAAGCTTCAAGCCTGGCCAGCATGGCTCAGTGGTTGAGCGTCAACCCACAAACCAGGAGGTCATGATTCGATTCCTGGTCAGGGCACATGCCCGGGGTTATGGGGTCGATCTCCAGTAAGGGGCGTGCAGGAGGCACTTGATCAATGACTCTCATCATTGATGTTTCCATCTCTCCGTTCCTCTCTCTGAAATTAATAAAAACATATTAAAAAAATTTAAAAATTTTAAAAAATAAAGCAAGCTCAAGGTCTCACACTGGAAAGCAGCTGAATACCACAGCCCAGGCCACAACATTTGGCCCTTGGGCTGAGGGAAAAGAAAGCCTTCCTATCGAAAAAAAAAAATCAAGGATGCAAGAAGAGGCAGGGACCCAACGTTCTTGACAGATAAAAAAAGTAACCTTGAGCACCTGAAACCTGTATAATTTTGTTAACCAGTATCACCCCAATAAATTCAATAAAAAGGGAATGGGGGAAGAGTAACCTTGAATCCTGAGTTTCTAGTTCCAAGGGCCCAACTGGATCCTGTCCTTGGGTTCAGTAAGATGCCTTTGCAGCCTTTAGATAAGCATAGATAACACAAAAGTCCTAAGGATGATACACAGGATCTGACACATCATCATGCAGGACCAGTTACTGACCATCTTTAAACTATAACAAAGGAAACCACCAAATGACTAGATCAAGCAAAGCCAGATGTCCAACTAGGACATCCAACAATGAATGGCATTTTCTTTCCCTCACTTTTGGATTTACTTACTTTGACCTCCATAGGGAGTTCCACCATAAAAACAAGCCACTGCCAACTTTTTTGTGATGTCGCTGAAGTCTCTGCTTACTTGATTTGCCAATTCTCTTGTGGGTGTAAGAACCAGTACCTGAAAAGAAAAAACTAAATTGAATTCATAGTATTATGCAGTATTTGTTTAACAAATTTGGACATCTAATAGTTTGAAAGAAACATTATGAGCATTAATAAATAATACAGGTGATCACAACCATGGGATGGATTAAAATATTTAAATATATAGGATTTGTGACCAACACATTATTTTTAATATATTTTTATTGATTTCAGAGAGAGAAAGGGAGGAGGAGAGAGATAGAAGCTTCAATGATGAGAGTCACTGATTGGCTGCCTCCTGCACGCCCCCTACTGGGAATGGAGCCCGAAACCCAAGCATGTGCTCTGACTGGGAATAGAACCTTGATCTCCTGGATCACAGGTCGATGCTCAACAGCTGAGCCACACCGGTTGGGCACCAACACTTTTTAAAAATTTTTTTATTGATTTTAGAGAGAGGAAGAGAGGGAGAGAGGGAGAGTGGGGAGGGAGAGAGAGAAAGACAGAAAGAAAGAGGGAGTAAGAGAGAGAGAGAAAAAAAACACACCAATTTGTTGTTCCACTTACATATGCCTTCACTGGTTGCTTCTTGTATGTGCCCTGACCAGAGATCTAACCTGCAACCTTGATGTATTGGGATGATACTCTAATTAACTGAGCTACCCCGCTAGGGCCATGGCCAATACTTTAAAAGAATTATCCTGGTTTATCTGCAGATATAGATCTACAGTAATACCCAAAAAAGGCTCTATGGAGAACCCAATAAAAAACAGTAGGTTTTGTAAACAATGCCCAAGAGATGTTTTTCCTGTGCGGATCTGGAGCCCCTGAGGTCTATGGTTAAAGCTATGACAGAGTTAGTTACCTGAGGGGGTCGGCCTCTCTTCCGGTCATGCAGTTCTCCCAGAAGCTTCTCAATCAAAGGGATGGCAAAGGAGAATGTCTTCCCAGTTCCTGTCCGCGCCTGTGCAATTAAATCTTTTCCACTATACACATGGTGAAATGTCTTTGCTTGTATAGGAAATAGGAAGGTCACCCCACGGGCTGTGAACAAATTAACCATGTTATCTGACATTGCAGTTCTTAAAATAACAGCCACACTGGAGGAGAAATTCTGCCTTCTGCTCACCATCTACAAAGTCGGATTCAAATATATCCTTGTAGTAAACAACCTACTTAACTGAAAATATCCACACACTTAAAGCACCAAGTTACGGTAAACATGTATTATTTTAAAAGATTAAGTTGCTTGTCATGAACCTTCATCCACAAGTCAGTATAAGCCTGAAAATCAGGTGCTTTGCAGTCCAAGTCCAGACTGTGCCACACCTGGTTCAGAAAACAGCTAGCTGAGCACCTGGAACTACCTAGCTCACTCACAGGCACACTGCTAAGATGAACTCTAAGCCAGACTGGTATCATTAGCCTAGAGATACCTCAAGAAGTGGAAGAGGGGGAAAAAAAATTTATTTCCATGGCATCAATTGTTTAATTGCAGCAGCACTATCAGTCATTATACTTCTGAATATGCATATTGTATTGAATAAATGCTAACCACCTGTATAAGAGTCAACAGAGGCCATCACTAGTGTAGTCCCATGTTGAATATATAGATCTGCTTCATTATGTGGTTAAATATAAGAACATGTCATAGTTCCTCTCAACAAAAACAGTGGAGTGCTTCCAAATAACATGTTCTAATTTATACAATATTCTAAGAATATTACCTTTGAGAAGTTTAATAGTCGCTTCAGATATGGGGAAATTAGAGAAAGCACCTTCTTTTTGTTCCACAGGTATTTCCTATCAAGTAAAGGGCCACAGAGAGAAATCAGTAACTTTACCCTTACAGGTTAATACAAAGAAGCCTTTTGAGAAAGAAACTAGAGAACCTACTCCAAAATACCTCTTTCTCAATCAACCCAAAAGGTAAATCAAGATCTAAAAAGGAAATAATCTATAAAACCCTAAAAGAAAAATCTGGAGCAAATAAACACTATACATACACTATGTATAGCCAGTGGAGGCAGAATCAGTCTCAACTAAGAACTATTCCATAGCCATTCCAAACAAATATACTGTTGCACACAGGTCATTCATTAGCCCTTTTCCACAGCAACATCTCTCATATACATCCACAGAAAATAAGGAGCTAACGGTGGCATTATTTGATAGTAAAAAATCTGAATGCCCAACAAAGGAATAATTATGTGAATTTCTAAAAATTTAAATGATAGATTTGTAACCATTAAGATTTAATATTTTTGTTTAACAATATAAAAGTGTAAAAGTCAGGATACAAGACTGCATATAGTACAATCCTAATCTGATTTAAAAAAAAAAATAGTTCCACATATAAAAAGTACAGCAAGGAAATATCAAAATTCAACAAGTTACCTCTGTATCTGAAAAGTCCTAACTTTTCACTGAATTACTGAATGCAGAAATTCTAAGGAGACATTTTAAATATAAATTTCTATTATTTCCTCAATTCTCTATATCACATACTATTTTTTATAATAGAAAAAAAATTCTTGCCCGGCCAGTGTGGCTCAGCATTGACCTACAATCTAGGAAATCCCAGTATGATTCCTGGTCAGGGCACATGCCAGGGTTGCCAGCTCAATCCCCAGTAGGGGGCGTGCAGGCAGCCAATCAATCAGTCTCTCATCAATGACTGATGTTTCTCTCTCTCCCTCTCTCTCTCTGAAATCAGTAAAGACATATTAAAAACAAAGAAAAAAATTCTTAAATGTTGATCATGACCTACATCAAACACAAAATTGTTTATTAAATTAGGATTTTTCTTTCTTGACTGAGATTCTGAAAGCTGTAAGAATTAGCTTCCAAATGGACAATTTAATCATCCAGTTCAACTCAAGTTAGTTAATGGCCTAAACAGACTTAAGATCCTACTTAATTGTGATTTATTTGGTGAAACCCCTAAGAGGGAAGCTAGGACCTATTTGCATGACTATATCTCTCCTGTTGATTTCTGACTTGCAAATAAACTGACCTCGACTGAAGACTAGATTTTCTCCAGACTTCAGGGATCTGTTTACCCACTAAGGAGGCATTCTGACTATGCTCCAAGGACCCCATGAAGTACTGACAAATCAAATTTCCTCCATTGTTAAATAATACGTAGTGATTACCTATGTATTTATCTGAAACGACAACTCTACATATCTAAACCTTACCTGCTCCAACTCACTGTTACTTTCTTCACTGGCAGCTTCATTAGAGTTAGAGTTAAGTTCAGAGTGAGAGAATCCATTCTTTAGTTTTGGGCTTTTCCCCCCAGTTTCTCCATTCATTTCCTTTTCTTTCTTCATCTTCTTGGGCTTAGGAGCACCTACTTCTTCAGAAGGCTCCTCATTTTTTTTAACTTTTTTGGTTTTAGAAGAAACAGCTTTCTTTTCCGTGGGCTCCTTTGTTGTTTTTACACTTTTGATTTTAGGAGAAATCACATCGTCTTGAGATGGCTCCTCTTTCTTTTTCGCCTCTTTGGATTTAGAATTCATGTCAACCTCAGAAGGCCCTGCTTTCTTTTTAACTTTTTTAGTTTTCGGGGAAATAGCTTCCTCCTTTTCTTCTGCTGCCTCTTCAGTCTTATTAAATTTTGACTTCTCTTTTTTACTTTTCTAAAAATAAATCAATAAAGAAAATACAAACACTGAATAAAGCATCTGATACATTTGAATAATACATTAATTCTAGATCACTTCAAGATCACACAATTATGAAGAACACAATTTGGGGGTATTTGTCAACACTTGTACTTCCACCTTGCAATAAGGCAAAAATCAAACAGTATGCTTTCTAGTACTATTTCTTAGCTATATGGAGATAAGTATGTATCAATAATTTCATTAGCTTGGAAGAGAATGCCTCTTAGTAACTACTCAATTCATGTTGGTCGAACAAGTTGTAAAATCAAAGTTTCACAAAGGATTTGGGGTAACTCATGGGATGCTCCAACAGGCTCTAAACTAAATACACTATAGCAAGTGACCAAGTACAGTTTAATTTTGATAAGAGTAATACGCCATATATGTCCACGAATGGAAGACTGTTTGTTAAACAACTTTTCTTTCCTAGAATTCCTGTAAAGGTAAAACAAGAATTCATAATACCTGTTTTGCCTATCTCACAAGAGCAGATGAATTTACATAGAGACACTTCATGAACCAAAAAGCTATAAAAACTCACAATCTATCACCCCATGTGTAAAAAAAGACGAACCTAATTTAAAGAAAGGGGGTTTGAGGAGGAAGCACACGTTAGAAGGACATGGAATGAGTGAAACCTCAACACCAAACCAGACTATGGCTCCTACCTGAAATGTCTGACCCTCTCCAACTTTCTGTATTACTGAAAACTTAATTACTCAATATTACTGAAAACAATTAGACAGGTGTTGTAGCCTGTTAAAACCTCTCCATCAGAGCCCCAGCACAATCCCAGTAGAGACTATTATATTGAGCTGTTACCTGCCTCCCTAAAACTTCAGGCCTGGCCTTTGCTCTCAAATCATGGATGAGGGTAATCTCTCCCACATGACCATCCTTCAGACAGCTGAAAAATAACATGGTCCCCCCTCCCATTCCCCGCAACTTCAGTTCTTTCATCCCTTGGTTCTACCAAATAAGAGTGGACTTCCCATCTCGGTGGTCTCCTTTGGGATATAAGGGAGTTTGGTCTTGGTCTTGTCCTGCCTAATGTGAGCATCCTACAACTGAACACCATCACTGAGGCAGTGAAGGTAAAGCAGACAAGTGTCCTCCCCACCTGTGAAGGCAAGTCTGTGCCCCTCCACTTCCTACAAGGCCAAAGCATTGCTGTTGTAAAAGCTCCCCATCAAAAAGACAAGGAAACTGCAAGAAAAGAAACTTCTAAGCCAAGCTTAGGGACCATCTTTGTTCCCACTGACCTTATCTCAGCACAGACTCAGTCACAGTTAAATCACTATCTAAAGCAGCAACATCAAGGAGGCAGACAGCTGTCAAAGTACCAGGAGCACTGTACTCTGCTGGCCTATCTAAAATATATAGTGTCCAGTTAGCACCAAAACAGGGCTTTACGGTTCAACGGGTAATCTTGTCAATAAACTTTAAGAGGAACTGACTTACAGTACTTCATTTTCTAAGGGCTGCTTACCGGAAAACTATGCCGCCCTTAGCAGGATAAAAACGTCACTGCCGACACCGCCCACGTGTGCAGGTGGATTCAATTTTCAGCAGCCTAAAGCGTGAGTCCCTACCTTGACTTGGCTTACAATGCCCTCCGCGCTTACAACGCACTCGCCGGGAGTCAGGTCTGAACTTGAGCCAAAACAAGAGGCCTAACAGTGAACGCCCAACTCGGGGCACCCAGGTTCCAGGACCACGTGGGACACCTGCCCCCT